AGAGAAAAAAGAAAGAAAGAAAGAAAGAAAGAAAAATAGAGAGAAAAAAGAAAGAAAGAAAGAAAGAAAGAAAAATAGAGAGAAAAAAGAAAGAAAGAAAAATAGAGAGAAAAAAGAAAGAAAGAAAGAAAGAAAGAAAGAAAAATAGAGAGAAAAAAGAAAGAAAGAAAGAAAGAAAAATAGAGAGAAAAAAGAAAGAAAGAAAGAAAAAAGAGAGAAAAAGAAAGAAAGAAAAAGAGAGAAAAAGAAAGAAAGAAAAATAGAGAAAAAGAAAGAAAGAAAGAAAGAAAGAAAAATAGAGAGAAAAAGAAAGAAAGAAAATAGAGAGTTTTTTCTATTTTATTTTTCTTTCTTTTTTTTTTCTCTCTATTTTTCTTTCTTTCTTTCTTTCTTTCTTTTTTCTCTCTATTTTAAGAAAGAAAAATAGAGAGAAAAAAGAAAGAAAGAAAAATAAAGAGAAAAAAGAAAGAAAGAAAGAAAGAAAGAAAAATAGTGAGAAAAAAGAAAGAAAGAAAGAAAAATAGAGAGAAAAAGCAAAGAAAGAAAGAAAGAAAAATAGAGAGAAAAAAAGAAAGAAAAATTATTTTTAAGAAAAGAAAAAATTAAACAAAGATAGAAAGCAAGAAGGTTAATTGCAAATAAAATACTGTCCCAAACTGGGGATCTTGAGACACAAAAATAAATACCAAATGATCTTAATGGAATTACCTCAAACCTTGGCAGCCGACATCGCTGTTTCCAACCATTGCGCCCTTTCTTAGTCAGACGTTAACTTGAAAATACGGTACATCAAAAGGCGCATAACGCGTTGCTTTTCTCCTTAATAACATCTGTTGACGTTGCCTTTCTGATCTTGTTTTTGTTTAATAGATGTGTGTATATACGAGGTGGTGTCAGCCAAGATTTAAGCTTTCTAACATTTGCTGGCTTCGTCGGATGATTTTTCGGATAGGCGTACCGTGCAATGTGTTCTTTATCTATCTATCTATCTATCTATCTATCTATCTATCTATCTATCTATCTATCTATCTAAATCTGGATCTGTTCACATCTAATTCTTCATTATTTCAAAACCATTCGACACTATCCATCTATTTGTTTCATCTCACGGGTTAGTTCACTACCATAGTCTTATGCCAGATTATGCTTACTAAATAATGATGAAATTCGATTCGCAGTAGTTGTTCCATTATTGATCCCTTGTACCACTGATATTAAAATGCAGTAGAATTAACACTCCTTTACTATTTTTCCATTTATTTCTCTTTCTTTTCCAGTTTATTTTTCTTCCTTTTTCGTTGCATCTTTCCTACTTTCTTTATTTTTTAATTCATTTATTTCATTTTTAATGTTTTTCGTGATTCCATTTTTTTTATTTCTCTAGTTCTCTCTATTTTTTTTTGTTTTGTATTTTAAAAACGTGTTTTTCTTTCTTATACAGTGTAACCTGGATATAAGAGAGTTATCGGGACCGGAGAAGAAGTCTCTTATATCCGGGTTTCTCTTATATCCGGGTTTGGTCTATTTTATATACATTAACACAGGCTCTAATTTGGGACCAGAGAAAATCTCTCTTATATCCGGGTTTCTCTTATATCCGGGTCTCTCATATCTGGGTTAAACTGTACATGCTTTTTCCTTCATTTCATTTCTTTCGACATTTATTTAATTCTTTGTAATATCGTTCCCACCTTCTCTCTTTCTCTTTGATTAATTTAACTTTTTTCACCCTTTTTATTTTAGAAAAAATTCTTTACATCTGCTTCTTCGTGAACTCTTTCTTTCAATAATTTTTTATTTTTTAAATTTACTATCTTGTTAAATTTTTATCAATTCCATTCATTCTTTTAGCTTGTTTTTTACTATGCCTTCCTTCCTAATTAAAAAAAAATATTTTCGCCAATCTCATTCTTTATAGTGTCTACCTACTTCTTTCTTTTTTCTTGCTAAATTTTTATAATTTATTTTTCATTCTTTTTTTTTTCCATTCATAATATATTTTGTTTGCTTTTATTTCTCAAACCTTGGCAGCCGACATCGCTGTTTCCAGCCATTGCGCCATTTTTTTCTAGGTAAGGGATATGTTTGTCTGTCATCTGTGCTTGTGTTCGAATTCTGCTAAAAGCCTCTTTTCAACGGAAAGAGTATCATAATATTGATAATGAGAAGATGAAGTGAACAATGTGTGTGTTCTCGACCAAATCACCCGAGCATCACCCTTCTTGGTTGGGCTGAGAACCCTTCAACACCACTTGTATATTATTTCCTGATCCTCTTGAACCTGAATATTGTACGGCGTCAGTATGATGGAAGAGAACGTGACTGACACAAAATTCGGCTGTCGGGGGAAAATAATCTTCTGGCCCTACCACCTGCCACCAATGCCACCTGCAAACTTGCCGCCGATGTGCCCATCACAGTATGTACATGTACTTGTAGATGTATGAATGAAGACAGTGTCTATTTTCAAGTGTGTGTGTTGCATTTTTTTCAGCGTTCA